TGCCACGAAAAAGGACAGTTGAACCCAAAAAGTGGTCCGAAACCGTCAGTTTTCAACATTTTGACTTCGAAATGCGCTCCGCGCCACAGCGGTGTCCACTTTTGCCACATTTCAGCTTCCAAAAGTGGTCCGAAACTGAGGTGTCTTGACTTGGAAACGTGCTTCGCGCCACAGCGGCGTGCAGTTTTTCCCACATTCCAACTGAATCATGTAAATATTTTATTTTTGAGACCTTTTATTTTTTTGATCGAGCCTACAAATGGCGCTTCCTCTACCCTTCCTACATGTAGCTTCCAACATTTTTTTAAATCCTTTTTTTTTATCTACAAAAAAAATGATCCTTAATTTTTTCGGATCTTTCTCCGAATCGCCACCGCGCCACAACGAGAGCGCCCAGACAGCAAAAATCCCTTGAGAGGGTAGACGTCCCAATGATGTTGTCCATGCAGCCGGCTGTATCAAAATATTTCTACAGCATTTTCAAACCCAATACTTTCAAACGCAAAAATTTTTGCGAAAATCTTCTGCAAATCATGCTATGCAAGTAGCCGTAATGCAAGTGTCCAATGCAATGCAAGTCATCCTGCGCAGGTGCCCTGCAAGAAATCGTTTGCAATAACTCTGCAAGTCATCCTATGCAAATCGTACTCAGCAAGTGATCCTGTGCAGGTGGCCAAGTACATGTGGACTGCCAGGCTCCCGCCAAAACATACAGTCGCACACCCAAAAAGGTACGTTGCATATCTAGATGCCCAACGTCACAACACACGTAATGTCACTTGCTCATGCAGTCCATTTCATATCATGCCATGCAAGTCACATCTTCACATGCAAGGTGTAACAAAAACACCGACTCCTTTCTACAAGTGTGTTGCGGGAAAAATTGAATTTCTGCATATGCAAGAGGGCAACACACGTCGCGTCCTTGAAGCGGCGTTACCTTTGCTTATTAATCCGTGATTGACGCGCAATTCTATTCGATCATTGTTTACAGTGCCGGTTGGGGTGTAATCTCTGGGTTTGCGCGTATTTTGCTGTCTGAACTTCATTGAAAATCGGAATTGGAACAGAACCTTGGAACCGTGAAACATTGTTTGGCTTGCAAAGTTGGGTGAACTATTTGACATTTTATCCTTTTTCATCATTCTTGTTGTCAATTGTCATCAACCATCATTCATTGAAATAAGCAAGGTTATTCAACAATCATCATTCTCACTATTTCGTGTCATTGTTTTAGACATGTGTCGCGGACTAGATTGGAAACAATACCCTCATGTGCAACGTCGCAAATTTGCACAATTGCAGTTTTGGCTGGTGTATTGTGATTTTACATGGTTCGCATCTTCAACAACGGAACTTGACAACGGTTTGCATGTGAACCCACCCCAAACATTATGTCAATTTCTGTTCGGTTGATTTCAAGTCTGTGGGAAACTCGGTTGGGGGGGGTTCCACACGTTTTGGATTCAAATGCAGATGTTTCTCTCGATTTGTTGCCGAAATCTCAAGCTGCGGGCTGCTGTAAGTGCAAACAGGGCAAAATGGCCATCTATTCCCCTCTGCCGGTGTGGACCTGAGTTTTCGGTGATTTTCTTTAATCTTTTGAAACCGCTCACCCTCATGGCTGCATTTCCTCCGTGCTTCCGACTTATGTTGAACATTTTCATCCAAACGAATCAAACAACACATTTTTAAAGTGATTGCAGTGGTTTTCCCATGGCATCACACAGTTTACAAACTTTTGGATCAATAGTCAAACAAATACCATGGTGACCACAATAAACAGAGCTTTAAACGCGTCAAAATTGTTCCATTGCCCTGTGTGCATCGTTTTCCAAGGTTCAACCCGGTGAAAATTTGAGAACTGCGCTGCCAGAAACATAGAGACAGATTGCCACATGATCCTTTGAACTTGAACAACGTTATTGATTGTGAAGGTTTTGCGATCCACGATGCCGAGGATTGCAGTTCCAGTGCCACCTGGGGTCAAGGGCCTCAGAGCCTCAAATTGTGCGTTCAGAATGAGATTTGCAGATTTGTTTGGCCACGGAGGCTTAGTGAGTGTTGGATTGTATGCAATGCACTTTGTTTTTTTTGGGTGGCTTTTGCAATTTAGTTTGCTGTAACTGAGTCACTCAGGCAAATTATGGCCGATCAGTTTCGACCATTCGAGGCTTTTCGTTCAACATGCAATTTTTCATCGAACATCTGATCATCTCGGGGTTGTTCCGAGTCCACAAACACCAAATTCTATTCCGTTGATTCGGATTGCAGGTGGGTTGCCTCAAAATTATCCAGTTGAACGTGGCGATCTCAAAACATTCAAGTGTGTGCGGTGACTGCCTTGGGTTTGATTTTAAGTGACAAGAGTAGATTGCAAAATGGTTTTGTCCAATTCCTTTTGGGCCCCTGAAATGCATGCTTATTCATCCTATTCCTATTGATATCAAATGGCCCAATAGCCACAAGGTGTTCGGTTGGGAATCCTGGTCGAGGCGGCATGTCACCACTACCGATGCGCTGGGCCTCTCCCGTGAGGGAGAGAGGTCGCTGGGTTGCTTTGTTTATCAGGGCCATTCAGCATGGGATTCCCACAATTTCCCACATATCTTTTCAAATTTTTGGAGTTCAACATTTTTTTTTGGTGGTTGAGCAACTGGGTTAGCCTTCTGCAAGGGTGATGTTACAGGAAAAAAAACCCTGTTCATTCATTGCTTTGTTGCTGTTACTCTAATAACTCACCTCTTTCCGTAAGCCCTGTGGCCAGGTGCAGCTGTGCCCAGTGTGGCAGCTGTGCCCGGTGTGGCAGCGGTGCCTGGTGTGGCAGTGCGATCGTTCTCACCCACCAGACAGATGCTGAGGCCAGATGGGTTTGATGAACTGGACATTCTGTACAAACGTTCACTCGCAGCTGCAGCAACTGGGATCCGGCCTATTGAACGAGAACGGGAACTTTCCTGCGCATTTCACTAGGATTGCGATGGAATTCCCAACTTTTCATTTTTGTAAGATATTTGTCACCATTTTTATTATTTTTGTAAGATATTTGATATATATATATATGTTCATATGTATATGTATATATATATATATATATGTATAAAATGATTATCCTTTTTCCAGAATTGTATGAAAGGAAAACTGCAAAAAGATCCCAAATATATCCAATTATTCTGATTCTCCCTGGGTTTCCTGAAAAAACAGCCTCAGTAGCAACGCTTGGAGCAAGGCATGCGTCGCCACTGCATGTCCCAAGGCTCAGTCTATGCTTCGGAACGTGGTCACGGAATGGGTTTGTCCACAGGGAAAATCGTCCCCAATTCGATGGCAATTCTTCTTCCCGATTTCTCAGCTCTGTCAAACTCCAATCAACAAATCCTATAAATCTCCTCATCCCGCATTCCTCAGATGATTTTAAAAGATGTTTATCATTTTCGCATGAAGCGGCCAGGGGGATTGTCTTCCCTGGCGCCATGCCGGCAATGCGACCGCCTCTACTTCCAGACCCGATGAAGGTAGATACGCTGGGCTTCTGTGGAGTCTGTGGAGTTTGAAACTGCTAAACCACTGAACCACTGAAGATCATCAATCTGGATGAAGCGGATTCGCCACATTCGAAGGCCCAAGCTGTTCCAGTTGACGACTGGCAAAAGAGGAGATCTTGCGGTTCACGACTTAACGCCAGTATTATTCCGACAGCCTTCAGCGCCATCAGGTTCATTATCAGCATTGTGCTCAGCAAGTACCCTCGAGTAATTCACACAGGTATGTACAAACCACCATTTATGGATCATTTTTCTTGGGAGACCATCCTTGTTTTATATCGATGCTAGTTTCCTGGAGGTATATAGCCCAGCCAAAATTCCGTCTTGCAGGAGACAATTTACTCGGACTGTGTCACCAGCCCGGTCACCACTGAGACGAGCGCCTGCAAACCAGGCATTTTTTCCAAGTTTTGTGGGAAACAAGCTTTTTTTCAGGCAAAGCCATGTGACATCTATGACATCTATGACATCTTTATTGGAGACGTTTGAGAAGCGTTTTGCTTCTCTTCCTGGTCCAGGGCACACCCTTCATGCGAGTTGGCAGTCCAAAGCCAGCACAGCGATGGGTCTTTTCGTTCAGCGCTCAGAGTTGGATTGACCGATATTCAGTGAGAGATTACAGAAGATTCATTGAGCCATTGATGGGACACCTTTAAAAGTGATCCAACCCCTATCATGGACCCCTCATTCTGATCACTTCGTATACACTTCCTACATCTACAGTACTGCGTGGATGGGCACCCCAGTTCCGTAAGTGGTTTCTACCCATGGCTGTAACCAGCTGCTATGTGGGATGCGCATGCAGTTTTTCCCCAAACAGTGTGTCCACACTGAGGGGTTCTTACGGTCAGGGTTAAGGCTGGGGTCAGAGGGTTTAAGGTCTTGAAGATCCTCTGCATTGGTGCTTGTATGAACGTTCTTCTGGGATGCTCATGCGAAGTTCTTGCCTGAAGATCTTGTGAGCTCCTCTATATAGATCTATATAGAAGGCCCCGCTGCTGCAATTGCGATCATGTCTAAGCTTATCCTGTTACTGTTCCATGGCTACTGGTGCTTGTATCAGGCACATTGACTTACCCCCGACACTGTTTGGGGTCTCTTGATCAATTTTCCATCTTTTCCAAGGACGTTTTCTCCAACATTAAACAGAAAGTTCTCCAGTTCTATCCAGTTTCTGCCGAGGCATCAGCCCGTGACCGTGGCGGTGCATTTGACTCACAAGAGGCCATCCACAGGCAGTGGCGGTAGCCAGGGCAGTGCCGCGCATCCTCCGGAAATGAAGCCAGGGGCCCAAAGGATGACCGATCAGTGGCCAGTGGGGATTTCCGGCCTTTCCGGTTGTCCGGGGATTCCGGGAACCACGGTTCAACACTTTGGGATGGTTCAAAATGATGAAACACCTTCAAGATCCTTCAAGCTTTTCAAAATTGGGTGGTTGAATACTAGAAATATCTAGAAATGATCAACAGAGTGGGTCCAGTGGTAGCCCATTTTTTGGCCAGGGCCATCCTGGTGGCGAAACGACATGGGTACCCTACAATTCCCATGGTTTTAAATCTCCTTTACGAACGGGTCCAGCTACTATAAAACCTCACTTGATCCTTGATCCCATGGTTGAAAACCTCATTTTCCAATGTTTTCTTCCCCAAATTTATGCTTCGTATACCCATTTTTTTGGCGCCCAACATCGCGCCATGTATGTGGCGACCAAGGATGGAGCGTCGTAACTCCGAAGGGAAGGCCTGGTGGATCAGGTGGTGGAGCTTTTGGACCTCCACAACAAAATCTGGCAACTCTTGGAGAAACCATAACTCTTATGGTTTCCTTTTGGGTCAGCTTTTGGGCTTTCAATTTTTTTCCTTTTGGGTAGCTTTGAATGGTGGTTTCCATGGTTTTCCCACTGAAAGGTGAAAAACTTTCACCAGGTCATGTGATTTGTTCTGTTGGACATGTTGGCCCGACGGCTCCAGCGGCGTGACCTGACTGCGCCAGCATCAATGGCTTCGTCGGAGGCCTGTCTTTTTAGTGGGGCCTTTTTCACCAAGAAATATGGGCAAGTTTACCAAGCAAACATGGGGATATCATGGGATATCAACAAGAAAACGGGGATGGTCCGATTGCCGGGTTTTCAAGCGAAGAAAGAATGTGGTTTCACCATGTTTCACCCAAGAAAAGGGATGCTATCAAGTGGGGTAGGGATAAATCATGCGACCGATGATTTCACAAAGGTTCCAGCAATCAGGAGCCGCCAAATGGACATTGCTTCCGGCGCATTTGTGTCTATGGTGGTAGTAGCTCCAAAGTGAGGGCTGAGTATCTTGGCTGCGTTGAAACATCTGGTGCGGAATGCAGAGGAATGAGATGAACTTCGAGCGCCAACTGTATGTCTTTGTAAGTTTTGTAAAGCAGCAAGACTAATGGTTAAAAGAAAAGCTCGATGGGGTTAGGTTTTGAATAGGAACCACAAAATGCTGCAGCTTCATGCTCTGTCTGTTTGCAATCACTTTGTCACCAACAGGAATCAAGTTTGTTTTCTGGGATACGATCCATTTGTGCATCCTCAGTGTGATTCATGCATTGAGGTCCAAAAATGGCCAGTCAATTGTGGCCCATTGGTACCCCATTTTGCTGGTACCACCACCAAGTTGACAGCCCATTTCGGCTAGTCAAAGCCCCATTTCTTGGCTCTTTCCGCCTCCATTTCTGGTGTTGGAACCACCATCTTGACTCGTTGAAAAGCAGTCATTTCTGCTGATAAAACACCTCCTTTAGGCTGATCATAAAACCCTCATGTGTCGCGGGTAAAACTATGTAAAACCATGTAAACCCATGTAACACCTGAAAATTCGCTGGTGTCAAGCCCCAATTTTTTTGGTTGGTTCAACTCCCCCGCATTTCTGGTGGGTGGGCGGTAAACCCTGCAGCTTCGAGGTATTTGCAGCTAGCCGTCTTGTTGGGCCAAAGCTTGGCCCGGCAGAAGATTGGCCTGGTCTTCGGAGGGGGAAAGGCCTGGAAGTATGTCATTCATTGGCCAAAAGTATGGCGACCACAAGTGGCGTACCAATTGACTGATGCACATAGTTGGTATGTGTGTTTACTATATATATATATGTATAATATTGTATAATATGTATATATTAAGGGTCGAATCAGAAGTCTGTTTCAAGGAACCGATGATGTTGAAGCGTGCCATTTGGGGTGCTGGGATAAACCATGCCTGTAACATGTGCTGTGCATTGTGTCCTCAAAGTAGAGGAAAACCAGGGGTTGGTAAATTTGGAGATTATATCCCCAGTAGTTGGGTGACGTTCAATTAGGATATTTTCCAACCCACGTTTATCACAATATTAGCCAGAACGTTTCCTGCATGGTCGCAGCAGAACGTTTCTGACCCTGAGGTTGGCTTGATGGGTGCTGTAGCAGATGCTGTCCTTGCAATGAAGGGCGAAGTGATCGGTGTGATTCCTAGGTCTGGTTGGGTCACCGCTAAGAGACGTCCTGATGGTAGTAATTGAAAAAAAATCTGGAGCAAAAGGTATCCCATCTCTTTTTCTTAGCGTAGTACACTAACCCCCAAAAATGGAGCAGTCATTTCCCCCTATTTTCGTTCGATTTTGCTTTTCTATTTGGAGTTGCTGTAGTAATCTGAGCTTTTTTTTTGCCAAAAACATCTCGCCGAAGTCAACGTGGCGATTTTTCAAAGGCCTTGGGTGCTATCATCGGCCCCCGGAAGGAGCATGGTGGACTTAGAGATTGCTCATGAGGGTTGCACCTCCTTGCGAGTTGTGGAGACCATGCATGAGAGGATGCGTGGCGGCGAAATGCGGTGCCCAGTCGAAACAGGGCTTTTAACCATACCATCCCTGTGACTATCAGAGATAGAGCCCAGACTCATCACCCGGATTTCACAGGGCCTGGAGGATCCTGGAGCTTTCAACGGATCCAGAACAAGTGGAATGTCTCCAAAAATATCCCAGATATTCATATATATACATATATATATATGTATATACATAGAATGAAAATAAATAGATAAATAAGAAAATATATACATACGGCCCAACGTCTCGTGGTCCCCCCTCCCCCCGAGATGGTGATGGTTTATATATGTATATGATATATACAAAGATTATACAAGTATGTGTATATATATATATACAGGTTTTGTATATATATATATAAGTAGTATATATATATACATATGTATATACAGTACACACATATATATATACATATATATATATATATACATATACATATATATATATATACATATATATATATATACATATATATATATACATATATATATATATACATACACATACATGGGTGTGTATATTCGTATGCAGTATGTGTATGTGCACAACGCTACAACAATTTCCTGCAATCGGCGACTTTGCACTGTGTGGCAGCAGAGAGAAAAAGAGAGAGCCTCTGCGTTGCACAACTGAGTCATTGACTATGTTGACACATCTCTAGCTATATCTATATCTCTCTATAGCACACCCAAAATTCTTATAACTTTATATATATATATTATTTAATATATATATATATATATATCAACATCTTTATGGGATTATATAGGCATATCTATGTTAGTTAGGCCATTCTTTCCCCCTCCAAGGAAGGCGCTGATGGCGGAGCTGTCCGATGCTTTCATCGCGCTGCCGGGCGGCTGGGGCACACTGGAGGAGATAGCAGAGGTCACGACCTGGACACAGCGGCTCGACGGATTTTTCCCATGAAAGTCATGGATTTTTCATGGATTTTTCCCAATGAAATCTAGGGGTACCCTGAATTTGCCCCAATCTATGGAATTTGAAGATGTGAAATTTGAGACTTGAGTCCAAAGATGGAGAAAATCCAATGTTTCACATGGATGTTCAGCACAGGAAAAAAAGACCTGGGAGAAAACAGAAGAATTGAGATTTAGCATGCACACATTGGGATTTAAGGCGAAATTTGATTGAGAATTAAGCAACCAAAAATGGTGATGTCGTTCTGTGGGGGAATGGCACAACATGCAAACATGTGATGTTCCAATATGAAGGTGACCATCCAACAATTAAGAAAATGATCCATAGCCAAGTTGGTAGCCTGGCGATCGGGATATAAACACACTTTAAGAGTCTGAGAGTGGCTGACTGAAGTTGCGAGATGTGTTTTTTCCTGGTCAGTGGTTCCAAACATGATGATGATTTTTGATCTCAAAGGATGGCACGATGATCCCAATTGACTTCTGTTCTTTTTGACTTTTCTGGCCCAACCAGAAAGTAGCCAAGGAAAAAACAGATGTGTGCAATGCGTATCCTTCCGAGCTGCTACTTTCTGGCGTATTTTTTCTTTGCAAATACGGTATATAATATACTTATTTTTCATTTATTTCCCATCATTGCTAGGTTTGATCACTGGTACTCCCCCTAAACTTTCAATGGCACACGTATTTATGGCCATATCCAATAAGAAAATCAACTTTGGCCACCCATTTAGGTTCCATGCTAAACTTAGCAGTTGTTTTTTTTTTTTAATGGTACCTGAGGTTGAACATTCATCTGAAGCCGGTGGGGTTGTTGAACCAATTCGCCTACTGGGACCATCTTCTGCAATGGACAGAAACATCCCGTGACGAAGGACTTGGAGATGGTTTTGGATTCCTCGAAGGATTCCAAGAGGTTTTGGAGCACCAAAAACACGTGAGGGTTTTACATGAGAGTTCCCCCAATTCTTGGAAGGTTCAAAACAACAACACAAAATCGAATGATGCCGGGCTGCCGGAAGTCGTGAATTTTGGATGATGGTACTTGTAAGATCTTGTAAGTAAAAATAGAAAGAAACCTGAGAAGATTCTTTGGCCTCCAATTGTCTGGTCACCTCTCTGCATGGTCTAAGCATGGTCTAACACCCTTGAAGTTAGAGGATAGCAATGCCCAGTCACTGTGTTTGTCGCTTCTCCCTCGCGGAGTCAGGGTAAATTAAATGCTTTGTGCGTAGATGATATGCCTTTTGAAAAGCTTTGGAGTCCAAGATCAGTTTTTAGATGATTTGGGCAGGGGTGTTGAACGCCAGGATTCATGACGTCTACATCTCAGAAGATCCTTTGCGTTGCGGAGGACCCTGAAGAACTCATACAGGCTTTGGCGATGGTTCAACTGCCTGACTTAGCGGACAAGATCAGCTGCACCCGCGTTGCGCCAAAGATGCCTTCTGGTGCAACTCGGCAGGAGAGAAGGGGTACAGGCTTGTGGCGGTCTCCGAACACATTGATGGGAAATACCATGGTTAGAAGCCCAATAATAGCACCAATAAGTTGGGATATGACCTGTACAATTACGGCCATATATCAACTGATTACTGTAAGTAGAACTGCATCCACAACTAGTCTCATTGTTGCAGCTCAAGGCAGATGTCGCGGAATCGGAAGCTGATGTGAAAAGCGCTGATGCTGATGTGAAAACGGGCGTGCTGTTGTGCTGCTTGTGGGGATAACATGGTTCTAACCCTCGTTATTTACGATGTATTATTTCAATGTGTTTTTACTTTTCCATATACAATAACTCACAATTGTAAATGACAATATATACTATGTAAATACATACATATATATATATATGTATATACACATGAATCAACCCTTTTTTTTGATTCCCCCTGGTTTCAACGCTGTGTTTTTTCTTTGTCAGGAATTCAGGTGGCAACCTCCACAACTGCCCAGCGAACCAGCCTCCTTCAAGGAGGGTCAGGCCATTTTACGCCATTTTGCCATTTGAAAATGGGAGAAAAATGGGGAACCGCGGTGTTTTTCATGGGGAAATGAAGTTTTAAGCCATGGACATATGGAAATGGCGGGAACACGCTCCTGAAATCAAAACTTGGTGAGAACTGGAGCATCTTCCAAAAAATGAGAACATCCTGGATTTTTTGTCCCGTGCACATGTTTGTTATCATGCAAAGAAGGGCAATCAAACTTACACTGCCAGAAACGATAGGTAAGTTGACTGAGAAGATAATAACATAATATAACATGATAAGGTTTGGATTTTCCGGTGGATACATCGAACTAGTAACATCAACAGTTCCATCGGGGCGTCCCGGGTAGGTGGTGACCGTTGGCAAGCTGCAGCTGCGCGTGGGCTTTGAGGGAGCCTCAGGGATGGTTCGTGAAACATCCAAACAAACAAGGGGCGATTTATGGGGGGTAACCCCATTTTAGGAAACCTCCCATTGTTGGTCAATATTTTTTTTTTCTTTTTCAGGTGTAGCCATTTCTATCAAGAATGATTTGGTACTCTCAAATGCATAATTGGCGTGGTAAACCCAACCATAAACCATACCCAATTTACTCAAAATGCACCATGTGGGGGTATCAGAAATGGAAGCCACAAAAAGTGGCTACGTTTTACAGGAGCACGCTGGTCAATCTACAGTACTCATTGGTCCTTTCAAATGTGTCTATAGATGGCCCTCATGTAGGCCATTGGAGAAGGAGCTTACGCGCGAGTGCATGCCTCAGCGGTCTCGGAATGGGAGATTGTTGAAGTTGCTGGAAAATGGTTGGTACCCTCCGGGAGAAGCCTAACCTGGTCACGAATTCGTCCAAAAGTGGGGTGTGGCTCCAAATCCAACGGTGTTTATCATCATTTTCCTGAGAAACAATTGCCACAAACTGGGACGCACACTCCAATTTATAGCAATTATTCATAGGGAATATGATGATTACCGCTGGATTGTGGGAGTTGCTGAAGGTCTTTGGCGCCATTGGCGTAGAGACCCAAGAGGCTAGGCATAGGGGGCCCGGGTGGTGACTTCGACTGTTTGGGGGATTTTGAACATCACTGGAGAGACTGGAGACTAGTATCTGTTGGAGATTGTATCATATCTGTTCAAGAGATAGGCGTTTAATTAGGACATTTACCAACCCGTGTTGCTGTTAGTTGAGTATAATTATCCACCCAGGCAATAAGAAATGTGGTTTACAGGTGTCAACACATGGTCTCATACCAAGTTTGACCAGCCACAAATGTGGTGGAATGGCACGTTCACCATGGAGTGGATCCTCCGATAGGGATGTACACACTTCCTTTTTGTTCCCTGGGGATTTGAAAACAACATACTGTGCTAAACCCCCAACATCCCCTGAAGTGGGCTTGCCCTTAAAAGGTTTATGCTGGGTTTACCTCATCCTTCATTTCGATCTCCCCCTATTTATTTTGTTGGCAGATTCCTCCTGTTTTGAAGCCCGGCAACCCAGAAAATCAAATGCGGCTAGGAGACGGTCAACAAAGCCCAAATGGATTCATATGCCATATGCAACCCATTCCCATGAAATCTTACCGTCTTGCATTCCCAGTTGGTAGACTCCCAGTTTTTTTGGTTCGTTTTTTTTTTTTCCCCCGACTTATTCTCAATTGAAATCGGGGTTTACTTGACATACGGCTTTGTCCCTAAATCCGCCAATGATCATTTCCCCCCATCCAAATGGCCGTAAATGGCTTTTCCCATGTTTTTTTCCATGTTTTCCACCCATGTTGTTCTGATCATTTTCGCCAGTTGGTCAACGGCAGGAAGTGGCCATCAAAGAGATGCGTTGTGGACATGGTGCAGGAATTCTGCCCGATGCCAGCCTGCAGCGGGCCATCTATGAGGTCAAGGCCGGAGCCATGAAACTTCTTCTTGTCGTATCATAATGTGAATATACGTATGTATGTGTATATATATATGTGTTTACACATATTACACATATTACACATATTACATATATTACATACATATACATACATATACATATACATATACATATACATATACATATACATATACATATACATATACATATACATATACATATACATACATATGACATACATACATACATACATACATACATACATAGATACATACATACATACATACATACATAGATACATACATAGATAGATAGATACATACATACATACATAGATACATAGATACATACATAGATACATAGATACATAGATAGATAGATAGATAGATAGATAGATAGATACATAGATAGATACATACATACATACATACATAGATACATACATACATACATACATACATACATACATAGATACATCCATGCATGCATGCATACATATATATATATATATATTTATATATATAGAGATACATATATATACATACATGTATATGTATATACACAACATATATATGTATATACATACCTGTGTATATATATATATATATTCACATATACATACATGTATATGCATATATATACACTCACACGCAATCATTCTTGTGTTTATGTTTGATGCTGCAAAAGCCAGGTGATGCGGCTGCTGACTGAAGCCTCGGAAGGCCCATCACGGGGCGGTGTAGATTTTGTCCAAGCAGGGACGGGCTTCGCCAGTGGGACACCGAAGTTGAGTTGTTTTTCCTCTTTTTTTTCCATTAGCTGGGGTATACCCATTTTTAGGGTATCCTCCATTTTTGGGGTCTCCCCCATTTTTTCTTCCCATTAGTTGATAGCCGGTCAAATTGGGGTATCCCCCAATTTTTTCGATAAATCCATTGGGTCAAAGCAAACACGGAGATGAATTACCAAACAGGGGAAGCGTTTAGACAACCAAAAAACATGGCTATGGCTCGGAGATTCGTGTCTGGGTCAAAACCTGGTTGCGGGATTTATAATCCTGGTTTTGAATCGAAGTCACTGGTAAATGGATGGATGGGTCTATCATGTAGATCCTGATGGTGTCCCGAAGCTGCAAAATTTGAGGGTATTGGTCTATTCAAGTACATTTAAGGAACACACACACACACACCCTAAATATTCCATAAATATTCAACTATATGCAAGTAATTATATGTTTGTTTTCAGGTCATTCTCATCGCCACTTGATTCTCCGGACGCAAGCTGCCAGAAGGTGAGGAGCTGCGGGTACCAAAGCTTTTGGATCACCAGTTCTGGCTCTCAGACGCTCTGGGGCGTTTTTTTGGACATGGAAGCAGTGACGATTGGTGGCCTTGGGAGTAGGAGAAGAAGTCTACTTGGTGGTGATTGAACACGTTTGAGCTCCGAACATGGGATGGAAAAGAAAAGATCTGCAAGCATGACCATCGCTACTCCAGAAGTCCGGAATGGTTGGTATCCAAGGTTTCTGGTCCCCACATGTGCAATGTTGTCACATGTGGGGTGGTTCCCTGTAACCCATGTAAAAGAGTCATGAAGCTCACAGTAGATCCCCTGTGGCTTGGACCTGGCAGCCTCACCGACTTACAGACCAGGTTTTGGGATCTGCCAGCCGAGCCTGGAGCGTTCCTATGCCGTGCAGGGAAGCCCTGGTAGAGCGAGGTGACCGTTTGTCGATGATTTTTGGCATTGTTTGGCATGTTTTTTTAATTGCGAAGTTCGACTTAGAGGGCAAAACAAGTTGGAGAAAGCTCCGCTCAAAGCTGAAATCCATGCAATTCACTTGGTTCATCTTGGTTCCAAGTCCGCAAGTTTTGACGAAAAACATGGCCACAGCTGCGAGGTTGCAATGACTCGACGCCGGGGTCAAGCGCTGATTTCATGGTTGGAGGCAGAGAAGCAATGTGAGACACGGTGAGTAGATACTCCACGTCGTTCAAAGTTTCTGGACTTGGAAAAGAAGATCATGCCTCTTTTTGAGTAACTCCATGTTTGGGAAAATCTGAGAAATCTTTAGTGAATATCTAAAATGAATAGAAACTAAAGATTTAGATCCTAGGTTTGTTTTTGTTTTCCGCATGGACCCAGTAAAAAACCGCTTGGCTTTGCCAGCCCTTGCCGTCGGAGCGCAGGAACGAGCAGCGTGTGCGGAAGTTCCAGATGGGACTTCCTCATCGTGCCGGCCTGCGAAACAGCCAGTTTGTTTCAGAATTGGTGGGAAGAAATACAGGAACCCATAGGAACCCATAGGAACCCATAGGAACCCATAGGAACCCATAGGAACCCATAGGAACCCATAGGAACCCATAGGAAGCCATAGGAAGCCATAGGACCCTACATTTGGGTGGACAAACCATGGTTTCCTGTGGCCTGTTTTCCTTGAAATGCATTGAGGGTGGTGATGGTTTTGACTTCTTTTGACTTTTTATTCATAGACATGGATCAGAAATCAAGTGCCCCAAGGATTCAATGGTTTAGTAAGTTGGTGACTAGTCAATTTGCAGGCCGCGGCGGCCAGGTACTGTTTGTGCTTCCTCCGAGCTGCGCATTCTGCACGGGACTGGATGCACCACACTGCGCCCAGTTTTTCGCTGTTTTCGTGTCTTGTGATCCAAAGAAAGAGACGGGAGAAGTAAACCACTCTTCAACTAATCCCTTCCCTCGTGGATATTAAACACCCCCCCAGAAACCATGGTGGACGTAGGTGACGAAACCACATCGTTGGGACTATTTGGGTCGTCTTTAGTATCAATGGGGGATGGGATTATTGAATGATTATTGCTGCTGAAAGTCCACTAATAACCAT